TGTGTAATGCATTTATAACAAAGAGGTAAACGATGCAGATACTATTATTGCTATTCTATTCAATTTCATAATTCGAATGTGTAACATTTGAAATATCAATTAATATAATATATGATTACCATATCATTGTATTGGAACAAAAGTTCATAGCGTCTTTCTAGGTGATATTCAGATACAATATGAAGATTTAGATACATAGATTTTTTGTACATATATTTATTCAACAACGTATGTAACATGTCTTGTGTGACTTAAACTCCTGAGGTGCTATTTTAAACGTGTTGGTTTGTTTTATAAAGAAACGAGTAATAAAATTGTAATAATCAATTATATTAAAATCAATGTGAGTACAAGTACAGAAATACTGTTGTCGGTCGTAATCGTCGCTCGTTCAAAATTCATATATCGATAACAATTCAACTCTTCTACTCGCTAACTATTCAAGTATTTGATTGTTCTAGAGAGCACGTTCGTCTATTTATATCGACAGGTGTTATTATAAAAAATTCAAAGTTAGAGTTCATATGTAACTCCGCTTGATTGATTATAAATAACAGCAATAATATTTCGTCCGGAGTTCTTTTATCTTTAGACTTTGCAAACCAAAACAAGGTTGCTGTTCCAAGGCACAATAATACGAGTCTCTCCCAATTCAAATCTTTCTTTAATTTATGTGCCACTACAACCCTCTTACCAGTGATAACGTTTTCTTTTTTTTGTTTTGTTTGGTTTACAAAGGTTGTCGTAGGTAGATTTTCCAAGCCCAACAAGCTCTACAGCTTTATTCGAAACCTGCCTGTAACCGATCAGGGAAGCGAATTCTTCTGCGCGCGTGCGATACGTACATATTTCTCGCGTTTTCGTCACTTGTACTTGTCTGCCCATCGTTTCGCTCGATTTGAATTTTGCGCGGCATTAACACGTCGCGGCTTTCGGCGTTTTGTCGCTAGATGTCGTCGGGATTTTATTTGATCTATAGAGACTGTCACGTTTTTCATAAAATAAAGATAAAATTCTTATTCTTATAATTATAATTATAATTATATTAAAATTCTGATAAAATTCTTATCTCCGCGTTGTATCACCTTGCATGGCCCGTCGTAAGGTGGTTGGACGGGACTTCGGACGGCGTTGTTACGTAAGAGCACATGGGGTGAAGACGAGAGTTCGCGGAAAATAAAAACTTTTTTTCGTACCATGTCGTGCGATCGGTTTTGGGCTTTTTAGTATTCGCTCTTTTAACCGATTCGCGTATTCCGAGTTTGCTTGCTGAACCGTTGGTACAAATAATTCCGCTGGCAACCGTATTTCAGTACCGTAAGCCATTTCGGTAGCCCTGCATTCAGGTCCTCCTTAATGGCTGTTCGAATTCTCAATAAAATTATCGTCAAATTTTCGTCTCAGTTGCTCGTGTCATCGAATTTGACGTTTCTTTTAATTGCCGATGTAAACTGTCTACTATACCAGCGGTCGCAGGATGATAGGCCGTTGTGCGCGAATACTTGATGCTGAGCAACAGGCATAATTCTTCGAATAGTTTCGATTCGAATTGATGTTCTTGGTCGGATGTTATTTTCAAGGGTACGCCAAAAAAGCTATCCATGTATGAAGGAGGGCTGAAGCAACGGTTGATGCTTCCATATCGGCTATGGGCATTGCTTCGGGCTTACGCGAGAAACGGTCGATACACGTTAGACATTATCGGTAGTCTTGCGAGTACGGTTTACAGCCACTTCCACACGCTCGGCTGGCGGCTTTATTCCGTCGGCGTTTACCGTATATTCCAGGAATATGATTTCGTGCGCGCCGAATTCGCATTTCGCGTGGTTTATTACGACACCGTAGTCGTTTAGGCGGTTAAATAGCGTTCGCAAGTGTTCGCAATGTTGTTTGTCGTCTTCCGAATCTATTAGAAAATCGTCGATGTATGCGTAGACGAAATCTAGGCCTCTCGTGATTTCGTCAACGAATCGTTGACGTATTTGCGCGGCATTTCAAAGTCCAAACATCGTATTCATTGCCTCGAAAAGTCCGAAGGCTGTAGTAATCGCAGTTTCTTTTAACGTCTTCGGACGCGATTGGTATTTGATGGTAAGCGCGGAGGAGGTCGATCTTAGAAAAGATACGCTTACCGTGCAAATGTTGTGCAAAGTTTTTGATATGCGACGTGTGAGTACCGTTCAACGCACGGTAGTCGCCGCAAGGATGTAGGCCGCCGTCTTTCTTCGATACGACACGCAGCGGTGATGCCCATGAACTCTTTGATAGCCGTATCACTTCTTGCTCCATCATCAAACTCCATCTTCACTTGAGTCGGTCGGGTGCGAGGCGTCGAGGTTTGCTGAAGACGAGGGGACCGGGCGTGGTTTTTATGTGGTCTACCACAACGTGTCGAGTTTTTTCTCGTCCAAAAAAGGGTGGACAGGTTAGGTCCGGAAATTCGGCGAGAAGTCGGTGATACGTCGATTCATCGAGGATTGTCTTGATCGATACGGCTTCAGTTGTGACCGTGTATCCTGTCAAAGATAGGTTGGTGGTCTTGTCGATGAGCTGTCGATTTCGAGGGTCAATCAGTAACCCCTAGTGGCTCAGAAAGCCACACCAATGATAGGCGTGTTAACGTCCGCTACCGTGAAACTATTTGAATGCTCGTCGAAGCAACATGTCGAGGGTCACTAGGATGGTGCCGTAAAGTCGCGATGCGTATCCCGTTCGCCGCGAACAGTTTGCACGTGTCTTTGTTCACAGGTCCGTGTGACTTATTGCGCGGGTCCTGATCCTGAGCTGTTGTCGCACGCCGCGTTTATGGATGTCTGATCCCATTTCCATGCTTTCAGTCGCAAGGAGCTCGGCACTTTCGTGCTCGGTCTCCAAAGATCGCATGGTAATAGCATAGGCCGGTCGGTTGTGTCCTTTCTCGAGAACGTGAACGTCGGCGTCTCAAGCGTGATCGTGGACGGCGACGGCTATCGAGGCCTCACGCGTCTATTCGCTCTACTAACCGACATAGCAGCTTGTGTATCGGGTCCGAGTTGCTGTTATGCCATTCGCCATCAGTTGTTTCTGCTTCGACGGCGCCAATTCGTCCCGTCTCAGGGCGAATTTCATGTATCAGATCGGCCATCTGAATTAAATTTTCAACTTTTCTTTCGTGGTGGCCAAGACGTGCTGGATATGAACCGGTAGTAAGGACGAAGTCATCTGGTGTTGAGAGGGTGGCGAGTTTCTTTAGGTCCCGATAAAATTACGACGGAGTACTGCCGCCCATTTCTTCGCATTCCAACAACTTGCGCACTCTTGCATCTAAGTCGGCGAGTCTTGTACTTTAATCGGTCGTAATGCCCCGTCATCGGCTGGTTGAGCAATACGTCCCGGATCAGCTGGAACTGCTGCTCAGTAAGACTTGCAACAGTGATATGAAATTTAACTTCGTCGCTGGTAATGCGGGCAGCCTCGAACTGTGATTTCAATACCTGGAACCACAGTGTTACCCCGTGACTCCAGAACAGCGGTACCCAGAGCGGTGTGCTCACCAAGCGTACGTTGTCCGTTGCGTCCGTCGCGATTACGTCCTGATTGGCACTCGCCATTTTGAATGTAACACATTCACCTCTTTTCACTTTTATATCACGTTGGGGTCACCAATTTGAGACGCTATTTTAAACGTGTTGGTTTGTTTTATAAAGAAACGAGTGGTAAAATTGTAATAGTCAATTACATTAAAATCAATGTAAGTGCAAGTACAGAAATAGTGTATGCCGGTCGTAATCGTCGCTCGCTCGAAACTCATATATCGATAACAATTCAACTCTTGCACTCGTTAACTATTCAACTATTATATCGACAGATGTTATTATAAAAAGTTCATAGTTAGATTTCATATGTAACTCCGGTTGACGATTACAAATGACGACAATAAAATTTTGTCCGGAGTTCGTTTACCTTTAGACTTTGCAAACCAAAACAACGTTGGTATTCCAAGGCACAATAATATGAGTCTCTTCCGATTCAAATATTCCGTTGGCTCATGTGCCGCTACAGTTCTTTCAATTAGTGTTACGATTTGATCATCATCAACGACTGTAGGCCAGCTCATCAGCATATCCACTTCGGAACTGTACTAACTCTGGAAGGTATTCTCACTTCCAGCACTATCTGTATAAACGGTACATTTCTCCCCCTCTGTATTAAATTTTATTGATGCAACACGTACGCGGCAATGATTGGTAGAAAATTTAATAAGTAATTCTACAAGTCAAATTAAAACGAAACTGAATACATGGAATAAAAAAAAAGCATAGTTCTAGGTTATGTTTATTAGTTCCTAACATTCAGAAGTTGACCTAAATGTCTCTGAAATGCGACATCTCCCTAGGTGAAAGATGTAGAGCAGAAAGAACCATACTCCACTGCTTTTTAAAAGATAAGAACATTTCGATAACCAAAGCAAAACGTTGGACGAACCAGTCCATGCTACAGTTTAAATGTGTTTTTTATATATAATTTATTTCCTTGAACCTTTAACATTTTCTTATTCTTTTATTTTTTATTTCATTTGTGTACGTATGTATGTACGTGAATATCATATTGTGTAGTGATTATTATCTCTCATGTATTTTTATGCGTATGTATCGCGTGCATAATGTAAATACAGCATAATGTACATGCGTTGCATACGCTGCGTGGTGCGTTTTACACCACTGGATCGATGAAGGTTTGTTACAAAGGTTAGCCGCAAAATGTGATATTCAAGGTTAACATCTCTTGTTCTTGGGAAAAATGTCAACAAATCGATCGATTTGCGATCTATAGTTCATCATTCCATTCATCATCATTCTAATATACAGTATTAACTGTCCCATAATAACATTTGTAAGGATTGTCACGTGCCTATACGGCACGCAGTACGCGCAGGCAATAATTCGTTCGGGCCGTGCAAGGCGTAAATATTGTAGTATCGTGAACAGATTGTCTAAGAAATATCGGGTGAACCATAAACAATGTTGCGAAGAAGCCTAAGTGCCGATAGGCCAAATGAGTCTGGAAACTTCAATGGAATAGTTGCGCGGAAGAAAGGCCTATGTGACCATGGCGGCGAACTGTTGCGGAACACGTACGTGGTGGAGCTAAAGGTATGTTTAAGGGAGAAAGACGAATTAACAGTCAATCGTGAGTTGAGAAGTCCGAGTGTGGTCAGCGTTGTCACACGAGAGAGAATTGTCAGCGTTGTCGAGAAGGGTGGTCCGCGTGAAAGAGAGCGTTGGAACCGTGGTGATGAGAGTTGTAAATTAACTATTTAGTAGTCTTAGTTATAGCACATTACTGCATTTAGTTCACGTTAAATAACCATCATTTCCTGTTTAATCCATTTTAAATAAATAACAAATCCTACAATACACATGCGTTCTGCGTGCAGTGCGGGCGAGTGTGTAAATAGCTCATCCTGGAACAGACGTGTGTCAACGCCCGAACAAGCACAATATACTCGAACTAAACGAAATAATTTAGAAAACGAAAATAAACTACTTCAAATATAGCTGTAAGATAAGGTTAATCTGCGGAAAGTTTGTAAGTTCGGAAATATTCTAGTCTCATACGAGTTCTATTCACGAGATTGCTTACTGATGAGTGGGGGCATTAGAAATGAAATAAGATAAATTGAATATTCATTTCAATGTATATAATGAGCGAAAAAAGTGAACATTTTACGATAATCACTGCATATACCGTGAATAAAGAAGAAAGAAGGCAATTGAGATACAATAAGATACCTCACGGAATTCATGTTTTTAGACAAACCAGTTTTAAAACATACAAATTAACTTAGCCCTCGTATTGACTACAATACGAGGCACTAGCCTGGTTCACCTTCGGACTTGGTGGTGAACAACGAAAGGTGTTTATCTAGGAACGATAAGAAGCCGAACTTATATTTTTTTTTATACGCCGTGGTGGTTTGTAGATTTAAAAAATATTTAAAATATTTAAATAATATTTAAAATATTTAAATTCTGAGTAAAAATAATAGTTAAGAATAATTTTATTATAGTATATTAATAAATAATAGTGAAAATAATATTTAAGCAGTAATTTCGCTTCATTTCTACAAAATGTATCGGGCGCTCAAAAATGTTTTCTCCCGAGCATCATAGCCTTATTCTACACCTACGAGTTGGTGTAAGAACTGCATCGGTAAGAACTGCAAAGGAAGCAGCTGCACGTTGACTTTTGCCTTCAATTCAGGGCTAAATTCTCTTATTGCGTGGTACTCTAGTCATTGTGAGGATAAAAAATCTGAAGGCAACCATGGGTCTCAACGCAACCGTTCTCTTGGATACAATGTTAAAGTACTATTAACTTCCGAACTCACTCTATTTGTAATGTGCTTATATTTTGCAATCGGATGAATGGATAATGGCATCTATTGTCGCACGTAAGTAACTCAGATCCACCATTATACAGAATGTAATTGAATTGATGGTACTAGCGAAAAGGAGATAATTCTACGTGAAAGACACAAATTGGAAATATACAATAAATGTTTCTTGATTGACGCTTCGTTTTTGACGAAATGAAAATTTGTCAAGTATACTTAAATTTGATGAATTATTGATTTAATATGAGTAAACAATCAGGAGGAGGTTATTCTACATCCGAAAGTAAGTTAGAAATGTAAAATAAAATTCTTATTTTTGCAAATCTTCACCGATCCAAAGGTGTGGAGTAACGCTGTGATGCTGTACAAATCTGTGCTTCGTGTAACCTCAAAGTGGTGACTCAGTATCAGCAAAGATTTTCGTAAGGTAACGGTGTTTACGTGAAAATTACGTGTTCACCAATACTGCCTACAACATTGCGATCGCCTATTATACCCATGATTTAGCACTCAAGCTATCATCGATATTTATATACATGTCGGAGATAAGAGGACACCGGTGCCTTCCCTCTGAAACCTCGGGTAAATCCATAAAAAGATTGTAATTAAAATCTACAGTTGTAATTAAACGATTTGCCGTCACTCTACCCAATTGTATTTGTTTGAGACTTGTGACAATGAGCTTGGGCTCAAGGCGACAATTAGTCGCCGAACGTGGCCGCGGTCAACGCGACGAACTCTCCATCTAACAAAGGCACTGAGTAACCCTATAGCTCTCCTTAAAAGAAAGATTTGTAGCAACACGTGGCAGTAAACATTCCAACGGTTTCTGCCCCGTAGCTCGCCACACGCAGATCCTATTCTTCGGGCAGGATGTTTACCAGATGCCGACGCGTCTCCGCAGTACGTGATCGGCTAGCCCGAGGACCGTTATAAACACTAATATCTAGTT